ATTAATTAAAAAAGTAATTTCATATACTCGTAGTGTTAATTTGTAGTTATTACATAATTAGTAATAAGAAACTAAAAAAAACAATTTCCAAAAACGTTTCCCCATATTAAGTGCAATTAAGTGAACTTTTTTCTCGGGAACTAAGCAAGACCCGACAAAAATTCAAGAGACAAACAAGCTGTATTTCTATTTGCTCAACCCAAAGAAAGAAATGTTGCGGCCAAGGAGGCTCCTGCAGTTCAAAATATCAGTTACAGAGATGCAGTTAAGCGCACTATGCCAGAGGAACACTTACTACTGGTGAAGCCAGCAAATGATGAGCAACGCGACTCCCTTAAGCAGAAACTGGTTAGCAAAATAAATCCAGAGGATCTACAGGTTGGTGTGCAGATAAATAAGGTAAATACCAACGGCGACATTATATTAAAATGTGATAATCGGCAATCGCTGGAAAAAGTTAAGGCATCCATAGAGGGGCAATTGTCGAATAGTTGCTCTGTCTCTTTACCAAGAAAACGGAATCCCCGCATTCGTGTCTTGGGAGTAGATAAATACTATTACAAGGAAGATGCAGTGGTGTTCAGAGACAAAGTGTTTAACCAAAATAGCGTTCTATCTAATATACATGACCCATTATTCAGAATTGTATATAAATATCCAGTTAAAAATGACAAGTTTGATCCTGTTGCTGAGCTAGATCCTAAGTCTTTCCATTCGATAATGGGTGAAGGAAAGCTAAACATAGGATGGAATCGTTGTCCTGTTTACGAGCATTTTTCTGTAGTTCGTTGTTTCAAGTGTTGCGAATACGGTCACATACAAAAAAATTGTAATAATCAGACTATTTGTCCAGCTTGCTCTGGTAAACACGAAAAAAGTCAATGTAGGAATGATGACTCCATGTGTTGTATAATTTGCATAAATGCCAATAATAAACTTGGTAAAAACTATGATACCTGTCACTCTGTATGGGATAACAAGTGTGCGTGTCTACAAAACATTGAAAAGTTTATCAGGAGTAAAACAAACTACTCCTAGTACATCCTTTGGCTTATTTTTATTAACGTATATTATTTATTTCTATTTTATTCCATACAACACATTTTTTATCCATCTTTTTTAATCTTTTTATCTCATACTCTTTTTTATTTCTTGTTGTTTGTTTTTATATCCGTATATTTTGTTTCATTATGTCTCTGTTATGTGAATTTGATGTCATTCTTAATGAGGAGCATAATATAATGATAGGGTGCCTCAATGTTAGGTCGCTAATTTGCTCTTTTCATGATGTGAGGGACTATGTTCTCACTCAAAACTTTGACATAGTTGGTTTCACAGAAACTTGGCTCAAACCAGACGTTTTTGAAAGTAATGTAGAAATTGCGGGATACCAGCTTTTTAGGCATGACAGGGTTGATAGGCGAGGCGGAGGTATTGCCTTATATGTCAGAGTTGGCTTACGATGCTCAATGCTGGAGAACTTGCATGCAGAGGTGAACAGTGGTTTTGAACAGCTTTGGGTAAATATATCTGTCAACAAAAAAAAGCACACGGTTGGAGTAGTTTATAAACCCCCCAGTGTCAGCTATAGAACTCTGTCGGAGCTGGAGGAAATGTTGATATCTATATTTCCAACATCAGAGGGTTTAGTATGCATGGGCGACTTGAATATTAACTTCTTTGATTGTAGTAGTCCTGAATGTGTCTTTGTCTCTAACATTTTTGAAGATTTGAATCTGCATCAAATAGTTGACCATGGAACCAGGGTCACGAATAACAGTAGTACCTTAATAGATGTCGTTTTCGTTAATGATGAAGTTAAGATTGCTAATAAAGGAGTTGTGAATCTTCCTGCGGTGTCCGATCACTATCTAGTTTATTTTTGTGTGGAATGTGAACCAGCCGTTAGAGATACAAAATATGTACAGACCCGTGATTTAAGGAATATTGATGAGTCTCTTTTGAATGAGGTAGCGTCTAATATGCACTGGCTAGGTGTTATCGACTATGATGACATTGAATCAAAACTGCAACATTTTTACAGCCTTATTGATGATCTGCTAAATATATGCGCACCAATTAAAACCAGGAAGATATCAAAAGCACGTTGTCCCTGGATTACACACAATATTAAATTCATGATGCGGTTACGCAATAACGCCTATTCTAAGTATAAGAAAACTGTTAAGAACAATTTTTCTGACGAGATAAAAACTGCCAAATGGAACTACTATAAGCAATTAAGGAATCTAGTCACAGCATCTATTAGGCGCGAAAAAAAAGCATATATTGAATACCAGCTAAGAAAAAGCAACAGTTCTCGGAGCTGGTGGAAAGCTATAAAGGAGCTAGGGATTCATGGTTCTAAGGGTAAAAATAATCAGTGTACTTTGGAACCCAACATATTAAATAACTGTTTTGTGGATTCAGTTCCCGATAACTCAATAAATGAAACACTCTTAGAGTACTACAACACCAACATGCTACCAAATATCAATGACCTATTTCAGTTTAAGTTTGTTACCGAGGAAAAAGTCTTGAAGACCTTTCAAAAATAAAGTCGCGTGCTACCGGACTAGATGGATTAAATATAGATACATTTTCCTATATTCTTCCTTTTTGCCTCAAGGCTCTTACTCATATTATAAACTTTTCTTTGGAACATGGTATCGTACCACTCATATGGAAAGCCGCAACTGTTATTCCCGTTGGTAAAACCGATAATCCCCAATTGCCTTGCGATTTCAGGCCTATAAGCATACTTTCACTCTTGTCAAAAATTCTAGAAAAGATCTTTTACGAGCAAATGCTAACACACATCAATAAATACAGCTTAATTCCAAATACACAGTCGGGATTTAGAAAAAATCATAGTACTGTGACTGCATTAGTTGACATTTGTGATGACTACTTGAGAGCTATAGATAATTCCTGCGTAACTACAACTGTTCTGCTGGATTTAAGAAAGGCATTTGACTGTTTAAACCACAAAATGTTATTGGCTAAGCTGCACTTTCTTGTTTTTTCTGAGAATTCGATTACATGGTTTGACAATTACCTATCAGATTGACTTCAACAAGTTAAAATAGGCAGTGACTATTCTGACAATCGGGTCATTGTAAAGGTTGTGCCGCAAGGTTCCATTTTAGGACCAATCTTATTTACTTTATACGTGTCGGACTTGGATCGGTCGGTCAAACATTGCGCTTTACATTCTTATGCTGATGATACCCAGCTTTATCTATCCTATGATCCCTCCTCATGTGTTGATGCTAATGAAAAACTAGCAGTAGATTTAAGCGGCGTTTGTGATTGGTTTAGATACCACGGGTTACACATAAACTGTAGCAAATCGGCCATAATTACCTTCCGCTCTAAGAAGAACGAGTTCAGTGGAGATGCTATAAAGCTATGCCTCAATAGTGAAGAGCTCACACACAAAATATCGGTATTAAACTTAGGAATAATCTTTGATGAGCACTTAACTTTTCATGATCATATTTCTAAGGTTGTACAGAGCTCTTTTGCTAAACTAAAAAGCATCTACAGCTACGTGTTGTCTCAAGATACTAAAATTAAGCTTTGCGATTCACTCATTTTAAGTAAGTTAGAATATGGAAGTTCCGTGTTTGGTCCTTGTTTGACTGAAGCCGAAGCTTACAGACTTCAGAAAGTGCAGAACAGCTGTATTAGATATTCTGTTGGAATCCGAAGAAGGGAGCGAGTGTCTCCATTTATTCAAGAAGTGAATTGGTTGACGATGAGGCAGAGGTGGTTGGTTCACATTTTATGTTTGGTTCATAGCATTTTATTGACCAAATACCCTATATACTTAAATAATAAGTTATCCTTGAGAAGTCAGCATCATGCAGCCAACCTCCGTTTCGTTGGTTACACCCTTAACACGCCCCATCATAGAACCAGCCTATTTACTAAGAGTTTCTCTTTTGTTGCACCCAATCGCTATAATATGCTCCCTGTCAGCTTGTCAGCTTTAAAGTTTTATCTGTTCCACTTTTTAGGTCAAAAGTAAAAAAAATTGTTTTTGAAAATATGTCATAATACCTTATATTATTTAGTTTTTAACTTATGTAATGGTGTAACTGTTAACTGTGAATATATAGGATTTTTTCTTTAAATTAAAAAAATGCCTATTTTTGGCATAATAGATTTTTCATTATTGTTACTCAACAATGTTTATGTATCCCAGATTTTGTATTATAATTTTGTTTGGCCCTGGTTGGTATGAAAAACAGCTTTTAGCTGACACCCGCCAGGTTAAATAAAGGCTATTATTATTATTATTATTATTATTATTATAATAAAAATTGCACAAAGTTAGTGACGTACATTTTTTTGTCACAAATATTCGTACAGATCCTGCTCGAAACGCCAATGGACTTGATATCTTTAATCAAGTACCGGCTAAATTAGCTCCTTAATATTATTAGTACCACCGCCAAATTACACCAAAATCAGGTAAAGGGTATTTAAGAAATTTACGAAAAAACATTTTATTTTTAATTTTAACACACTGGATCTTGAGAACGAAGAATTTGCGGACCTATCTTCATATAGGATTGAGTACTAATGAAAATCGTGCCTCCTCACTTTTTATCTATCGAGATACAGGAGCAGATTAGGTTTGCTTTAGCTTTGATCGATTTTGGGGCACCTAATATCTGGGTTATCTTAAGACTTTGGTGTATATGCTACTAGGAAAAATCTCTGTAGATCTATACGTCGCGTAACTTTGCGGACACCCTGTATACATAATCATGTATAGAAACTTACAAAATGGGAGAATTAATACAAGGAAAGATGAAAGATGAAACATGAAACAAAGCTTTGACCCGTCATTTCTTCAGATACAGTAGTAATATTGCTTTTTTATTACTTCAATTAAATGAAAAGCGAAACTATAGACTCTTCAAAATCCTTGTTATACTTCATTCTCTACTACTTGTAAAACCACGCCATTTTTGTAAAAAAAGACTCACCTGTAACTAACTTGCCGGCTATTTGTGTATTGCGAATTGAACAGAGACTTATTCTTTTTGAAGAACGACTTTCCTATGCTCTCCCCGCTTCCTTTGGGCAAAGAGTAAGCTGTGAATCCAATAACCTTTGGTTCCATAATGCTATGTTGGTTCAACGACACTACGACTTCTTCCATCTCACTGAGCAGCAAGTGCAGTTGCGGGTTGATATGGAATGTTTCTGGATTGTTCCGACATCCTCCAGCAGATACGCCTTTCTGCCAGTTACCTTGGTACAGCCGCATCTGCCAGGTGTTCTTATTCCGGAGACTCGGCTCGTCTCGACTAGTATCACTATCTAGATGGACTACCTGGAAGATAGAAATGAAGCTTGTCATACAACCATATCACAAATTCAGCTTCGCGATTGATAATACCAACGGTTGGTTCAATATGAATGGAAGAGTGCAAAATTCTGAGTTAGAGGGAAGGAATCATATATAAACAAATCATTGAATATATTGAAGGAAATGAAATATTAACAAAATTGCAAGCAAGATTCAAACAAAAGTATTCTACTGAAACAGCAATCCAAATGGTAGTAGCAGAATGGAGGCGAAGTATGGATGATACTGTAACATTGTTCTTAGATTTCAAGAGAGCATTTGAGACTATTGAAAGCGAGAAATTGTTAACGAAATTGCATTGCTATGGATTTCAAGGTTAAGAATTCAACTTATGACAAAATTATTTAATCAATAGAAGTCAAAGAACTAAAATTGGCAATACATTATCAAACATTAAAACATTTCTGAAGGTGTGTCACAGGGTAGCAAATGAGGTCCATTATTATTTATTTTATATATTAACGATATTCCTGATATTTTAGCGACAGGCAGTATGGTTTCCGGCACCAATGATCCACAGGGGACCTCCTAGCTTACGTCACGCAATTGTGGAGTAAACTCATCCAGTCTTATGGTGAGGCCCACCATGTCGTTGCTCTTGACATCACGAAAGCATTCGATCAGCTGTGGCACGCTGTCCTCTTAAGCAAACTTCCGTCCTATGGCCTCCCAGAAAAGCTTTGCAGATGGGTGGCTGACTTTATCTCTGGCCGCAAGATATCCGTCGTAATGACGGGTTCTCCTCTTCATCCCACAACGACAACGCGGGTGTTCCCCAGGGATCAGTCTTGGCTCCAACACTGTTTCTCTTACATATCAACGACGTCCTTTCCTGCACGATCAACCCAATTCACAGCTTCGCAGCTTGCTTTAGTTTGTGCACGAATATCATGCTAATGACCATATCATGTTTTGGTCATGCCATTCTCAAGAAATACCCAAAACTGGCATCAAGAAAACAACATACCTTTTGTTCCCAAAAGGATAATCCTTCAAACTTACTCGCTCAGTAGAGGATCTTTGAGCTTTACTGTCTACTGATAAACCCAAGATGAAGAACAATTAAGACGACGAATTTACGAAAAATGTAGAGAAAGTGCTCTGAATTTCGTCCAGGACCTCATGAGAGACACTCAAAGAAAGTTGCGTCTGGTAGAGCACAATGGGCCACTCCACATATAACATAGTTTAGTTGCGTATTGAGTTGTAATTTATAACCAGTTAGTGTTTTAATAAATGTAAACACATTCATTAAAAAAAATCCAATAAATATTTTGTGTCAAAACTTTTAGGACATATGTTACTCTTGATCGGAGACAAAGCAGTAGCTCCGGTTGAGTCACCGGTACAACCAATTAGCCAATTTTGAATCCTCTAATTCCCGCTGGCAGGACCGGTTGTACACCATGAGTGAGGTTTGGTCTTGTGTGTGTCTTGTACAGGATGAGGAGGTCATGTGGTAAAAAGTGCTTATTAGCCATAAACAAATAACCTAGCCTTCTTCCAGCAGCTGCTGCTATTGACGAGATGTGTTCGTCCCAGATCAAATCCTTGGTGATATGGACTCCGACCAGCCGAAATGAACGGCACTTTGGTAAATCTCGGCCATCCAGCGAAACCGGATGAGCGCTGGGATGCTTCTTTTTCGTCAAAGTAGAAAAATGTGTTTTGGAAGCATTAAACTGTACCAGATCGTTACGTCCTCAAGCAATGGAGCTCCAGGTCTCTCGTCATAAAGTCGTTGCTAGTCTTCTTTTCTTGCCAGTCTGAATTCCTTCATGTAGAGTGCTGTCATTAGCAAAACTGTGTACTGGATTGACTGTCCTGGTAAGGAGGTAGATACTAAGTGACATATAAATCCGAACACCCAGTTTAAATGGTTTTATTAAAATAAAATTTTGTATAAGTACTTAATGAAGCATAATAAGTAAATGATAAAAATTTCAAAATGATTGCACTGCTTTAAAGCGCTTTGACCTTTAATAATGTGTGGATGCACCCTGATGTGCTACGCATGCTCCAACGCGCCTAGGCATGCTTCTGATCAGGTGGTCAATGTCCTCCTGTGGTATCTCATTCCAGGCAACCACCAACTCCTCTCGAAGTGCTTCTAGAGTCTGAGGAGGACGTTGCAAATTGAGCAATCTCCTACCCATCATATCCCACACGTGCTCAATTGGGGATAAGTCGGGAGATCTTGGTGGCCATGGTAACAATGTGACACCATTATGTTGAAAGAAGTCTATTGTGACTCTTGCAACATGTGGTCGGGCATTATCTTGTTGGAAAGTTGGATCTGCCAGGGTGTCAAGGTAGGGTAAAAGATGGGGTTCTAGAACTTCGTGGATATAACGCTGCGCGTTCATTTTACCTCTGATGAAGATTAAAGGTGACCTGGAACCATAAGCTATAGCACCCCAAACCATAACTCCAACAGTGTGATGAACATGTCCTTCAACAAAAAACTGTGGATTCCTCCTTTCACCACGTCGCCTTCTAACCCTGGCACGACCATCGTGCATGCCTAAATAAAATCGAGACTCGTCACTAAAGACAATACTGTTCCATTCCTGATCCCAGAGTGACCGTTGTCTGCACCACTCAAGGCGATTACGTCGGTGTTCTCGAGTTAAAGGGAGGACCCAGTGTGGCCGGTATGAAAACAAGCCAAAACTTCTCATTTGTCGGTAAACACTTCGCATGCCAATAGGTCTTCCGTGTTCTGCAAACCATTCATTTGCAATGGACCTGGTAGTGGAGAAACGGTCCCTTAAGGCCAATAATCTTAGGCGGCGATCTTCACGGTCTGTTGTTCTACGGCGGCGTCCAGTGCCCCTTGCTCTTTGCGTACGGCCTTCTCGAAGCCATGCCTGACAACACCTAACCACAGTGTCTACACTTCTGTGCACTCTAACTGCAATTGCCCGAAAAGAAAGACCAGCTTCTCGAAGTCCCACTATACGGGCCCTATCAAACTCACTAAGTTGACGAAATCGTACAGGTCTCCGTACTCTAGGCATCGTAACCGATCGTAAAGGATGTCAAGAACCAAAATCCGCCAACGTTGATTCTTTACTGCGGCTGGAATATTCATTTTTAGAGCGTTAGTGAATTAAAAAAAAGCAGTATAAAAACCGGAATGTCCAACTGATAAGGCTGAAAATTTTTTCACTTGTTATATGTAAGATAAATACATTCCCCAACTTTTATTAAAATAAAACCATTTAAACTGGGTGTTCGGATTTATATGTCACTTAGTATATGTAAGAAGAACAATGTCGGAGCCAAGACCGATCCCTGAGGAACACCCGCGTTGCCGTTGTGAGATGCAGAGGAGAACCCGTCAGTTAAGACAGATATCTTACGGCCAGAGAGGAAGTCAACCACCCATCTGCAAACCTTCCTGGGGAGGCCATAGAATGGAAGTTTAAATAGAAACATGCCACAGCTAATTGAACACTTCCGTGATATAGTATGTAGAGCAACGAGACGTAAGCGAAGAGGTCTCCTGTGGATCGCTGGTGCCGGAAACCACACTGCTTGTCGCTGATCAAACTGGGACGTTCGAGGTACTCCAGACGCTATGTGCCCTTAGCTATAAGGGTCAGTCTTTGATGCTTTTTTTGGGATGGGTAGGCCGATTGCAAATTTCCAGTTTTCTGGAAAAGTGCCGGAGTCGTAGGAAATCTGGAAGATACGCGAAAGAACGCTGCACATCTCTTCAATACAACGGCAGGAATCAACTCCAGACCGGAGCAACATACTTGTAACTATTTATGCTACTTTCACATTGTATTGAACAATAGTAAAATTTTAATCCAGTGCACCTAACCTTCAGTAGGCGTTAGGTGTAAGGTGTAAGAGAAGCTTTGAGTTAGATTTCACCTTTAGTAGTTTATAGTAATAAAGACGATTAATATTATTAAATAGTACCTTGGCGATAGTGGAATATCAGAGACCAAGGATCCGCTTTAGGGGAGGCTTCTGGTTTATGTTAATTCACTGATCAACAGCCAAAAAATATCCTAAATGAAATCAACAAAATATTACTATTTTTAATGTGCTAAAACCGGAATTAAACTCATTTTTTCAATATTAGTTCAAGTTTTAGAGATACGGTAATTATATGTGTTCCTACTGTGACAGTGTTAATATACTGTGATTCACAAGAATGCATGTGCTACATTTTTATATTCGGCAAGGAAAGATGATGTAGTCGGCATGATTGTGTTACGTTATACATACGTGTACATTATATTGTTTTATATTAGCCATTTTTTCCTCAGTTGGCTGACAGCGTTCATGCAAGATGTCTCGAAAGTGTGTAAACAATCCAGATCAGTTTTGTTACGTGTGTGGTGATGTGACGTTTGCGTCTCAGAGACGGTCTATTACTCCACTAATAACAAAGGCATATCAGCTTTATTTCGGTTGTAAACTAGGTGATCAAGACAAACAGTGGGCACCCCACATCTGCTGTAATACATGTGCTTCAAGTCTGAGGAGCTGGTTAAATGGCAAAAAACGGTCTATACGCTTTGCTGTCCCAATGGTTTGGAGAGAGCCTACAAATCATATAAATGATTGTTACTTTTGCATGGTACCTTGTGTTGGACAAGCCACAGGTATGTCCAAAAAAAATCGGTTATTAACTACCCAAACATACCATCTGCGATGAGACCTGTGCCTCACAGTGACGAAAATCCTATTCCAAAACCCCCAGAATCCTACACTTGCGAATCAGAAAACGAATCAGATCATGGCGATCGAGTGATTCGTCAGGAAGAAGGTATGCCATCAACGTCAAGAGATCCTGATTTTATACCGAGCACGTCATGCCACCAACCGCACAAAATAACACAGTCAGAATTAAATGATCTTGGAAGAGATTTAGAACTTCCAAAATGTAAGGCAGACTTACTTGGATCAAGACTGCAGCAGTGGCACTTGTTAGAAGACGATGTTTCGGTATGTGTTTTTCGTAAACGCCACAAAGACTTAGAACCATTTTTCAATATGGAGAATAACTTGGTTTTCTGCAGTAACATTAACGGCTTTCTGGCGGCTTTAAATATAAACTATAACCCAGAAGAATGGAGATTGTTTATAGACAGTTCAACATTGAGTTTAAAGGCAGTGTTATTGCATATTGGAAATATTTTACCATCTCTTCCTGTAGGGTATGCAGTTCACATGAAAGAATCATATGACAATATGAAGTACCTATTGACATGCATAAAATACGATGAGCACCAATGGCATATTTGTGGCGATTTGAAAGTTGTTGCACTTTTACTTGGGCTGCAGCTAGGCTACACAAAGTTTTGCTGTTTTTTTGTGTGAATGGGACAGTCGGGCAAAGGCACTTCATTACACCAGACAAAACTGGCCTGTTCGTCAATTCCTAGAGCCAGGTCAAAAAAATGTACAGCATATGCCATTAGTAGATTCGAAAAAAAATTTATTACCACCACTGCATATCAAGTTGGGCCTAATGAAAAACTTTGTCAAGGCATTAGATAGAGATGGGTCAGCTTTTCAATACCTGCGTCAGAAATTTCCAAGACTAAGTGAGGCAAAGGTTAAAGAAGGTATTTTTGTTAGGCCACAGATTCGAAATATTTTGAAAGATACACAGTTTGAAAACACTTTAACAGGTATTGAAAAAACTGCTTGGAATGATTTCCGTCTGGTGGTCACTAATTTCTTGGGAAATAGAAAAGCTGACAACTATAAAACCCTTGTCAAAAATATGCTGTCATCGTATCAAAAGATGGGCTGTAATATGTCTCTTAAGATACATTTCCTACACTCACACCTGGACTTTTTTCCTGACAATTGCGGAGCCGTAAGTGATGAGCACGGCGAACGTTTTCATCAGGATATTTCAACAATGGAAAAAAGGTACCAGGGAAAGTGGAATCCTTCCATGCTAGCAGACTACTGTTGGACTCTTGGTAGAGATGCTCTAGAAACGATCCATAAAAGAACAGCAAAAAGACAGCGCATATAGTGATTCTTATAAGTATATGAATCTTGTTACTTTTTTTAATATATCCTTAAAAATAAAAAGTTTTTTTCTAAACCGCAACTAATTTTTTTATTTCATTGTCATTTTTGGATTCAGCGCCCCAAAATTAACAAAGAAGTGCACTTTTCCCACAAGATACAATTAAAAAACTAAAATTTGTTGTCCAGTGAAGAACTCACCTCTAAGTGTGTGAAAGTTTTCACGAACTCCGCAAATGGCATCCAAATTTCTCCTTCTTGCAATTTCTTTTGTATCCTCTCCATTTCTAAAGGTGGCACTTCCGACCATTCCGGCGAATCTAAACACCAAGGTCCAATGTATTCTGAGGAATTTTCTGACGGATTCTTGAGTCTTACTAATTGTATTTCTTCACCAGTGAAAGTTTCTATCCTTTCCATTGAACATAACCTATAATTTATTCCTGGAAAGAACACATTATGGTGGAATATTAATCATGTTTCTATTAGAGGTGTTTCAGGATATCGTGTATTGCTATTCCTGTTAGAATATGGATATTGGCAAGTGTGCCAGGAGGGGAAAATTATTCAAAAATTTTTGCTGATACTTTCTCTCACATGTGAAAGGAATTATTTTTAAAGCAATGTTTTACTCACTTTAAGTAGGCTTATATCATTGCTGATAATTATGGATGTTTAGCTCTGGTTGTTTAAAGCTGTGCCGTCGGATATTATGTGTACGAGCCCTGTCTCAGTGAAGTTGGCCGAACGCCCCAAAACCTCATACTTCTGAATTTAAGTGCTAACCACCAACGCGGCTATTTTTAAAGCATTTCTATTTCGAAATTGTCTTCTTTGCAATGTGTATAGCAAAATACATGATGGAGACAACGTAAGTTGAATGGTCTGTATATTCGCTCCGATAAAATAGAGGTAGGCTTTTTAAAACAAATGATAACATTTTACGTTGCTAAGAAGCTGATTTTTGATGTTTAAGTCAACTTTCAGTGCATTGATGTTGTTGTTAACAATATTAAAAATAGCTGTTTCTGACGAAATAAGAAAAGCGATCATTGACTTTTAAAATTTTCAAATGCTTCCTAAATTGCTGACAGTGTTAACCAATAGAGGTATACATTTCGAAATATCATCAAATTGTACAAAACAAACTTTATCTGTTGCTCAAAAACCCAAAACTGGAAGTCGCCCGTGTTATTCCAATACCAACTTAGGAGCCTTAAAACGGATTATCAGGGAAAACCGGCATGCTAATTATAATGAATTGAAGATATGGTATCAGGCAACCACAAAAAAGTTTCCAATAGCAACTTGTCACAGGGCTGCACCAAAACAGATTTAAAACTTACGAGGTCGGCTTAAATTATTTTTTATTATTCGTTTCTATTTCAGTATTTCTAGGCAAAAGAAAGCCCTTACTGACAAAGATTCAGAAGAAAAACAGTCTAGCGTTGGCCAAAGAATACAACTCATGATCTCCGAACCAATGGAACTCCATTATTTCGAGTGATGAAGCCAGATTTGAAGTATGCGTTGGTGATAGTAAGAGTCGTTTCATAAGAAATAAATAAGAAGTGTTTCAGAATGACTGTCTTTAAAAAAGGCTGTTATGATTTGAAGATTCATGTCAGTAAGTAGAGCGGGAAACTTACACTTTCTGGAAGGTATTATGAATGCTGGTAAGTACATTAATGTGCTTCAAAATAACTTAATACCCCAAATTGAACAAATGCGTTTAAGCAATATTGAATGTACCTTCCAACAAGATTGTGCCTCTTTCCATACGGCTAAAAAGTAAAAAATTGGATGCTAGAAAACAATATTTTAGTTTTAAAGTAGACGTCAAGTAGTCCAGATCTATCGCCGATTGAAACCTTGTGGCACACAAAAACCGTTCTAGGATTACGAACCCGTTTCCAAGAAATTTGGAACAGTTTTACATCAGATAACCGCCAAACATTAGTTGATAATTTTTTTGTATAAGACCGTCGTCAAGTCGCAACCTGGAGCGAGTGGGCCTGTGATCCTCCTGACGTGCTGAAACTGCCGCTGATGGCATATCTTCTTACACGCAGGCCGTCTTTTTCTTCATCATTTTCATCTTCCATAACTCTCTTCTTCCAACCTACATCTCCCCTCCCGGATCAACCGGATTAGGAGTTCGGGGAGGATGAACGTGTCGTTCCTCTCGTCCCATTTGTTCGTTCTTCTCTGTGAGTTCTCTGACATGTATCGATCTTGTATACCTCTTGCCATATTCGTGACAGCAGTCCAATTATCAAGAGACTGCAGCATCGAATTGACAATGTCGTCCACCGTGGCTTCCCTGCCCAAGCACTGGCTCCATTCTTGTCTATCTACCTCCCACCTAGGACACCTGAAAAATGTGTGGAAGGCATCGTCCATGACTCCGCAGTACAGGCATGATGAGTCTTCACAAATGGCGAATCTGTCAATAGCTGGGTCAGGCAGAAGTCCACTTCGCCATGCTCCCTTTTCACCCATACCTCAAGATTTGGTATCAGTGCCCTAGTCCAGCGACCCTTAGTGGTAACTTGCCATCGTTGCTGCCAACTTCTCCCCAGTTGACCGTACACTGCTTGTCTTTAGTTAGTGGGATCTTCATGCACCTACCTTCTCATTTCCACTGCCAGGTCTATGGGTAGCGTATTAGACCAACAGCCTCAGCCAATACCGTGCAGTATGCACCACTAGTTCGCAGTCCTATCCTTCTACTAACTATCTGCAGCTTGGCAAGATGTCGTTTTACCCTCATGGCCCCTTCCCATATGGCAGATGCGTACAGCATAACAGCCACTGAACCTAAGGTCGCTCTCTTGCTCGCTCGCGGACCTCCAATGTTGGGCATCGGTCTAGGTCGAAGCGCGACCAGTTTTGCAGCCTTTGTCGCCGTCCTGCTTATATGCTCCCCAAAGGTGATCCTACAGTCAATCCATACGCCAAAGTATGGCACTGCCTTCCTGGTCAAACCTCTTGTCCATCTACCAAGACGATTATCACTGCTTCCGTCTTTTCTCGAGCTAAGGTCATGGACCTGCCTCTGAGCCAACAGCTGACCTCTTCGATAGCCTAGTCAGCCTTCTGTTTTAGCTCTATCTCACATTTGGCGATGACTACTACAGCGAGATTATCCGCGTAGGCTATGAGCGTTATACCGGGTGGCATTTCCGGTTCTAACAAGCCGTTGAGCAGGACGTTGCATAGTGTAGAACCGAGAATAGAGCCTTGAGCAACTCCTGCGTTCATCTCTATCAGATGATCCCTACCAGGTTCTATCCTGATCTTGCGGTTCTCCAAGTTACTCACAAGCAGGGGCAATACATCACCATCTGATACAATGTGTTTCAGCTTGATAACAATTTCATCTCTGGATGCCACGTTGAATGCGTTCCGTGCATCAAGGGTTATAAGAGCGCATAGCTGCCTCTCCCTGCTATCGATGACGTCTGACTTCTTGGCAATTCTTATGAATTCCTGTATGGCATCTAAAGTTAATCTCTTTTTACGGAAGCCATACTGCCTATCGCAAAATCCGTCTACTACAGGATGCGGCAGAGAGGATGGACGGTTTTAAAAAAATCATAAAATAGTTAAGTTTTACTCGAAAACAAATTTATTGATGGAATCAGGTTCACAAGGAAATAGCATTTGAGACAGTCAAGTGTGGAAAATCACATCAGACATGTGATGGCCGAAGTCGTTGGTGCAGTGCTGGAGGCGTTCTTGGAAGTTCGCGTAGACTCTCTTCAACATCGCTCTCTCAACTTGGGCGACTTCCACGCGAATATCGCCCTTCAATTCGTCCAGAGTTCGGGGCTTGTTCGCGTAAACTCTAGCCTTGAGGTGTCCCCATAGGAAAAAAATCGCATATGGATAAATCTGGGGATCGACGAGGCCAATGAACATCGCCAAACCTGGAAATAAGGCGACCCATCCTGCTGGAACCACACACGTCGGATTGGAACACGTCGCCTTCGTAATTCAGGGAGAAAGAAGTTGGTGATCATGTCGACGTAGCGCTCTGAGTTCACGGTAACATCACGACCATTACCGTCTTCGAAGAAGTAAGGGCCAATGATGCAAGTTTGCGATACAGCGCACCAAACCGCTACTTTTGGGCAGTGCAGCGGTCTTTCGTGTAACTGTTGCGGATTTTCATTAGCCAATAACGACAATTCTGCTGGTTAACCATGCTGTTTAGGTGAAAGTGGGCTTCGTCATAAACAAAATGAGGTTCTCATTTTGATCGATCAGTGCTTCCATCTCACGTGCGAAGTTCATTCGTTGTGCATAATCTCCGGGCTGTAACTGTTGCACAATGGCCAATTTGTAGGGGTGAAAGCGGATATCCATATGCAAAATTCGCCTTACCGAACGATCACTAAGACGAACTGCGTATTTCCGGGAAGATCGAGTCGGACTGCGAAAAAAGACCTGTCGAACGCGTACAACATTTTCAGGAGTTCGAACTGTTCGCGGCGCTCCTCTTGGTCTTCTTTTGATCAGTTCACCACGCGAAGTGATTCAACCCAACGAAGGATGGTGTTTCGAGAGGGAACAGCTCTATTCCAATGAATGTTGAAGTGAAACTCACGCTGTACGACGATGACTGACTCATTATTTCGGACGAAACAATCCTAGGCGAAAACGCGGTGCTCCACCATCCAAGGCTCCATAACGACAACTGGTAAAATAATGCTAGGATCTCACGAGTCAAACGGCACCCTCCTCACCTCTCTCGTAGACGGAGGCGGAGAGTACTACCCATCCCAAAAACGTCCGTCCTCTCTGCCGCACCCTGTACCATCCATGTCTTCGAGTAGTCGATTCAGTAACATATGCTCCAGCAGCTTACTAGATGCGTCTATTAATGAAATATTCATATACGAGGATGGAATTCCTTCAGGTTTGTGTTTTCCAAACATTAGTTGATACTATGTCCAGAGGTATCGAAGCAGTGATCAGTCGAAAAGGCGATGTAACGCAGTGGTGATTTGTTGCTATTTGGTTTCGTTGATTTTTGTTAATCGGCAGTTTTTTTTGTCAGATATTTTTTCTTTGTTACAAAAAATGTAGTATTTCAAGCTAGTATTTAATAAAATATCGTATGTTATCAGAAATACATTTTAGTTTTCAATGCGTTCCCGCTAATATGACAATCTTCATAGAAAACGTAGTTTTGATAGTTGGGCCAGCTTCACTGAGACAGGGCTCGTATATACGAGTCCCTTCCCACTTCAGTTGACCCTCTTCAAGATTTGTACCAAAATATGCCTTTATAAACTAAACATGACGAAACTATTTACTTCTAAAACAATTTATTTTCTCAAAAACATTTTAGATACACTCTAGTCGTAAAAAATACATATTTTAAATCACTTAGACCTATAACTAATAGAACATCTGAACAAATAAACAATGTGCGAATAAATGCGCGAAGTTAACAAAGCAACAATTGAAAGATTACCATTGGGTAACATCACCTTTATTTTTATTACGGCTGAAATTTTTTGGGGCATAGTGTCAACCAAGTTTTGGCAAAAATTTAGTGTAAAATAATTCCATATTTCTTGAAGCTTTTGTCTCAGTTCGGTGATTGTACGAGCAGGATGTTGTCGTAGAACCTTTTTCATCTCGTGCCACAAAGCTTCAATAGGTGACAGATATGGACTGCTAGAAACGCATTTCAAAAGTGGTACATTATTTTCTTCCATCCATTTTATAGCCTGTTTTGACATACTGCCTCAGACCATAATGGATGCTGGAAATTTCCCTTTTCTCTTCAGACAGTCAACATGGAACGCTTCATTTTTTTGTGAATAACTATACTGCGACTGTCACCAACACAAACTTGGAATCGGGCCTCATCACTCCATTGTATTGCACACCATTGTTGAGGTGTCCATTGTCTATGTTCTTTAGCCCATCTAAGCCGATTTTTCTTTTGCAGTGGAGTTAATAGTGGCTTTTCTTTGGCCTATAAATAAGTTGTGCAACTTTAGGGATTTTACTTCACTTTTTTTTATAAGAAAACTTACCTTGCAAGATCTAAATCCCGGTGTGTGGGCTTCTCTATGAGTTGCGGACCTCGAAATTCTCCTTCCAACAGCGTCACTCCACAGAGCACTTAATTGTAAATAATTGGCACGCCTGTTTTTCACGATTATTCTTCTTAATGCTCTTCGGTCGGCATTTGTGATATTACTTTTTTTCACATATCGTGGCTTAATATTAACTGAACCAGTTACGTTATATCTTCTAACAATATTTCTCACACTGTACCGCGATAAGTCTAACAAAGTTGTAATTTCTGAGTTTGGTTTCCCGGAATTAAAAAATTTAATTATCAGTAACCGAATTTTCTCACTAATAACCTTTCCTCTACCCATTTTGAAAACCTTAGCTTCCCAAAACTATTTTAAACGTATTCTGACAGCTGTGATTAATAAAAACAATTGTCATGGCTTTTATTTTTCACAGCCACCTATGCGTTATAGACTTATTTTGCTTTGAAATGAAAATAGGTTGATATGCTGTAATTGCAACATGTGTTATTTTTATGCTGCAAATTTGGCTAGGGAGAGATACAGTTGGTGTTTTCTACTATATATTATCAAAATATTCATTGTTAATATTTTAAACCTGCTTCATTTTTATTATTTGTGTTTGATAAGAATAAAACTTTCAGTAGTCAGGCCAACTGAAGTGGGAAGGGGCTCGAACTCATTCATCGACATGTTTTTCTTGAAGAGCTTCTGTCAAACGCACAATGCAAGGCTGCGAATAGATGCTTTTGAACTGTACGTTATTCTGGAGGCACATTCTTCAAATATTCACAATTGTACAGCCATTATTGTTGTACCACAAAAATTTGAATTAGAAAATACAAAAATATACAGAGCGTTTGTGTCCATGCTTCGAGCATAGCGCAAATCCTTATTATTATCTAATACTGGCCGTTAAGTTTCTACCATTCGATTTAATATGGGATTTACAGGGCCATCTTACACAAATCGTATATTTTTTCCCTAGTTTGAAAGACATTTTACAACAAAGTTCATATATTCAAGTTCTGTTTTAGAAATCGGAGTTTAATTGAAATGATTAAACATGATAACTGTCAAATATCAGGTAACCAAATAAGTTCGTGCGGTGTTTAGTAGAAAAATATAAATTTTTATTATTATTATTAAACAACAAATTTGAGTTGAGTACAAGTACTATAAACTCAAACACATAATAGATAATAGTGTACAGACAAAAGAAATATAACAATTTGACAATATTAGCATTTCTGAAATAGTCATCTACAAAATGGGAACAATATGTTAACCACTGCGGTGTCTATCATAATTGTTTTTGAAACTGTTGACGGATGCCGAGTTCACTAAATAAGATGGAAGACTGTTCCATGCATCGAAGACACAGTTTGAGATAAAGTGCTGAAGAGTAGAGGTTCTAAAAGCTTCCTTCTGCAATTTGAGGTTATGGCCTCTGAGATTGTTCGTTGCCAGACGAAACAGATGCGACATGTCCACACCAAACAAATTATACAGTTCTCTGAAAGTGATGATGAGATCTCCTCGCATTCTTCTATCAGCAAAAGCAGGCAGGTTATATAACTCGAGGCGGTCTTCATAACTCGGCTTACGTGTGCCATAAGGCATACGTGTAGCACGACGCTGAACGGCCTCTAATAAGCTGCTATCGCGAACAAGGTTTGAATCCCATACCGGATCAACAAACTACAGTAGGGGTCGTAGGAAAGTTGTGTACAAGAAGGAGGAGGTACTAACTGTGCAACCGCTAAATGATCTTTCCATCACATATAGCAACCGCTTTGCCTTAGAGGTTATATTCTAAATGTGCTCCGACCAGGTGAGCCGGTTAACTGTCAGACCAAGATCTGTGTGAAGAAAAACAGTCTCTAAGGTCTGTTTGCCAATCTTATATGTTAAGTTAGGATTATTGTTTCCCAGGTGGAGAACGTTGCATTTCCAAAGATTAAAAATTGGTGAACTGCATTTATTACACCATATCGAGTTGTGAACTATCGGTGCCTCATACAGTTGTCAAGAGACAACAAAAGGTGATAATCACTAGGCGAAATGTCGGGAGAATATGACAGGTGCGGTAACGTTTCCGAGCCGAGCTCAGAAAATTTTTCTCGGGTCACTTTTGCGGTATGAGGCTTGGCGTTATCCTGCAAGAATATCACTTTCTTCCGATTGATCAAAGAATGCTGTTTCTGGATGAGTGCTGCTTGTACTCGTTGAAGCTGCTCATAATACAAGTTAGCAGTCATGGTTTGACCTGTTTCCAAAAACTCAGACAATTCCAGTTGCTGTCCACCAAACACACAACAAAACCTTGTTTGGGTGCAAGGAAGCCTTGGGCGTGTGTGGTACCAATTAAGAAATGGTTCATTAGCGTTGCGTGAAATGTTTGCTCAACAAATGGTAAGACGACTTAACTTGTTATCATCTGTCAGTTCATGTGGGTCCCATTTGCTTAACTTCCACGTCTTTCCTAACTGATGACGATGCAAACGAATAGTTTCAGGACTCACTGTGAACATTTCTGCACGTTCTTGGCCGTTTGTCCTGGAATTTGCGTCCACAACCTGTCGAAGATCCTCGTTGTTCATGATTTTTGGTCTCCCTGAGCGCGGTTCATCGCTCAAACTGAGATCTTCCGAAAACAAATTTTGAACCACTTCTATGCTGTTCGATCACTAACGGCATCATCTCCGAATGCGGTACATATTTTTCGCGCCACTGCTGCAACTTTTGTATCAAGTTTATACTCATACAGTAAACAACTTCGAATTACTGTTTTATTCGTCGCCATTTTCAATTATTAAAACTAGGTATGTAACAATTTGCAGCAACTTTTTGTGGGTGTGAGAAAAGAAGAATTCATACTATAGTGACAACAGGTAAAAAACAATCGCTATCGATCATCAACATCCATGGCAATGTGCGATATACAGCAACCGAACGAACTTATTTGGTTGCCTGATAGTTAATTAAGTTTTTTAATTGTCCTAATTAAAGTTTTAATTTTTTCCTCAGTTGATAAAGGATTGTAACAAAATTGTACGCTTCTCCACTTACCTATTTGTATTCCATTGACTAACTTTTCCGCATGAGCCCTAACTTGGTTAGGCGGCTGTACCACACAAGTGAGGATCGAGGTCATGTCCAACAATTTATGTAGCAACCTTCCACATGCCGGTCCGTCTGCCCGTATGGCGATGCTTTCAGTTATGCCTCCAGTCAAATCCGCCAAGCCGTCCAACATCGAGCCATACTTCAGGGCTTCATAAGATCCATGTAGCCTGAAATATTAACAATAATAACATGACATTATGTAGGTTTTCTACAAGACGTCAACTTAAAACTAGCTGTTTTGCACTTGATGTGAACTCGTTATGTAGCTGGATGTGTTGCCTAAACATCAGGACGGTTCAGCTATCAATGTTAGGCTGTGATGTGATGTAACATCTGCTTCAAAGATGGCACTATTGGACATATAAGCTGTAGGTTGTACACTACGAGCCCCTTCCCACTTCAGTTGGCCCACTTCAAGATTTGTACCAAAATATGCCTTTATAAACTAAACATGACGAAACTATTTACTTCTAAAACAATTTATTTTCTCAAAAACGTTTTAGATACACTCTAGTCATAAAAAATACATATTTGAAATCACTTAGACCTATAACTAATAGAACATCTGAACAAATAAACAATGTACGAATAAATGCGCGAACAAAGCAACAATTGAAAGATTACCATTGGGTAACATCACCTTTAGTTTTCATTACGGCTGAAATTCTTTGGGGCATAGTGTTAACCAAGTTTTGGCAAAAATTTGGTGTAAAACAATCCCATATTTCTTGAAGCTTTTGTCTCAGTTCGGTGATTGTACGAGCAGGATGTTGTCGTAGAACCTTTTTCATCTAGTGCCACAAAGTTTCAATAGGTGACAGATCTGGACTGCTAGAAACCCATTTCAAAAGTGGTACATTATTTTCTTCCATCCATTTTATAGCCTTTTTTGAGGTATGGCACGCTGCACCATCTTGCTAAAACACAAAATCTTGGCCGGATGTCAAACATTCTTCCATCACTGGTAAAAGCGATTCTTCTAAAACTGCCAAATATTTGTTTGTATCCACATTTCCATCAATAAAATGAAGTTTTCCTACTCCTATTGATGACATACTGCCCCAGACCATAATGGATGCTGAAAATTTCACTTTTCTCTTCAGACAGTCAACTTGGAAGGCTTTTTTTGCGACTGTCACCAACACAAACTTCGAATCGGGCCTCATCACTCCATTGTATTGCACACCATTGTTGAGGTGTCCATTGTCTATGTTCTTTAGCCCATCTAAGCCGATTTTTCTTTTGCAGTGGAGTAAATAGTGGCTTTTCTTTGGCCTATAAACAAGTTGTGCAACTTTAGGGTTTTTACTTCACTTTTTTTATAAGAAAACTTACCTTGCAAGTGCTAAATCCCAGTTTGCGGACCTCTCTATGAGCTGTGGACCTCGAAATTCTCCTTCCAACAGCGTCACTCCACAGAGCACTTAATTGTAAATAATTGGCACGCCTGTTTTTCACGATTATTCTTCTTAATGCTCTTCGGTCGGCATTTGTGATATTACTTTTTTTCGCATATCGTGGCTTAATATTAACTGAACCAGTTACGTTATATCTTCTAACAATATTTCTCACACTGTACCGCGATAAGTCTAACAAAGTTGCAATTTCTGAGTTTGATTTCCCAGAATTAAAAAATTTAATTGTCAGTAACCGAATTTTCTCACTAATAACCTTTCCTCTACCCATTTTGAAAATCTTAACTACCCAAAACTATTTTAAACTATTAATATTTTAAACCTATAACACACTGCTACATTTTTATTATTTGTGTTTGATAAGAAAAAAACTAAGATTTCAATAGTTGGGTCAGCTGAAGTGGGAAGGGGCTCGTATAGCAGGAAGGAAACGGCAGCAATGGCAGTACTTAGGTGCATAGTGAGAGTTTGCGTACTTTGTGTGTTGATGATAATTTTCTTAGTTTCTTGTCTCAAATACACTTAATTGAGATGCATGCTCCATTTTGGAAATAATTACACACAAAGCGAGCACGGTGATAATTTACCGTAATTCTTCGTAAGATTCAAAAAACGGGAAAAATAGTAATTCATAACTTTGAACATAACCTCTCTTCAGAAAGAACAATAAAAATAACCCGTCTGGTACAGCTAATAGATATACTTCACGGGCTGCATACTCAGTAATAATTTTCTCACATAGCAAATAACACTGATTTTATACACGTGCATACCAATACTCACAATCACCATGCAATCATTCAGATGCGATCATGGTACTCTAACAATTTTGAATTTTCTGTCACATCTTCTCAATGATATACTCTACAGACTTGGCATTCTGCAACCGACAAAGCATACTGAGGAACTGACTTGCAGTTTGCAGCATGATCATTGAGCGTGTCGTGTCGTCGAGTCAGTCCTCCATAGATCAGGCTTTTGATGACGCTCACTACGCTTATAGCGAGCAAACGCGGAATGAACAATTTGCTACACTAGCAGGTTGACATTGTGTCGGTTATTTCAAATGAAAGTTAAAGATCGTCACAAATTCTGCAAAATTGTATCATTGGTTCGCTTAACATTACCGCATTTCGCACATTCCAGGGCAAGGCTTCCACCTCCATAGATTTATGATAGTACTGGGCTACTAGCGTTTTCTTTTTGCCAAAAAGTAGTTGAACACCGGTATGCACCACTCTCGTTAACTACTTCACAATAGACGCTGTATTTAATATTTTCGTTCATGGTTGCCTAAATGGCCGGTTTTCCAATGGGGATGCGTTGATGTCGAAATGTGATAAAACACGTTAGTTCAGACAATTGTATGGATTCAAGGAATTCAAATTTTAGCAATATTGACTTTCAACGCCTTCAAAACGACTTCCAGAGCAATTTTAAATGGACATCTTGCTGTCAAAAATGGTAGTTGGCATTTTAATTCACAAACTCGACCTCCAAATAACCGTTGTCATTCTCTAGGTAGTCTTAGAGAACATCGACAAATTGCTTTTAAGATCTCTTTCGTCATTGTCCGTCAGAGCGGGAGGGATGCCTTGCTATTGTCAACTGGTATTCAGTTAATTTAAATGAATCCAAAAATCAATTTAGGAATTTGTGTGTGGCAAAAATCGTAATTTTGGTTGGATATAGAATTGCACGATTTGATTGATCACAGTGCGAGTCGCGGTCTTGTGTGCCTGCGAACTTGCTCGACTGTGTAGTTTACTGACTCGCGCAACAGAAGGTTGCTGTGCGATTCCGCTTGACTATAACGTAACTGCGCTTGATGTTTGATATAGTCCCTTAGATAAGCGATGCCGAGGTCTCTGTGAAGGGTCTCGTTGCAGACATACCATGGTGCGATAGTGATGGTTCGCAAGGTTCTGTTCTGCAAAACCTGCAGATTACGCATATTCGTTTTGGCAAGAAAACTCGAACTTTGTTAACCAAACTTAATTTTGAGGTTCTACCTAGTAAACGGTAGAGTTGCCGAAACGTAATTTGGAATCTTGTTTTTAACGTTTCAGTGTGATTCTGCCAGATCATCATCCTGTCAAGAGTGACACCGAGATACTTAGCAGAATTTCCCCATGGTATGCGAGCTCCATTCACTGAAACCTCAGGCGGGGCGCCGCTACGTTTTTTATTACAATAGATAGCCTGCGTTTTCGAGTAATTAATTGTGATTAGCCACCGATCTGCCCATTCCAATACCTCATCCACCGCACTTTGTAACCTGTCGTGAACCAGATTCCCGGTACGCGACTGGGCCACCAGTGCAGTGTCATCAGCATATAGTTAGAGTTCACAGTCGCTAGGGCAAGAGACATCATGGGTCAAAAGTGAGTAAAGGATTAGCCCTAGAACCGAACCCTGAGGAACGCCGGCCCTGATGGGCCGTACTGTCGACAAGAAATTATTAATTTTTATCCGAAATTTCCTACCTTAAAGGAACGATTTCAAAAGTTTTAAGAGCCAAAATGGAAAGGCCTTTTGAATTAGTTTATAGAGAAGGTCCTTGTGCCACACCTTGTCAAATGCTTTCGAAACATCCAGAAGCAAGATGCCAGTACTTCCATTAAGGGTGAAGCCCCTGGTTACTCGCTCCACAAGCCTAATCGCCTGTAAGACCGAAATCCGAATTGCACGTCAGGAATCACATGGTGATCTGACGAGAAATTCGCAAGGTGACGTAGAATCACCTTTTCAGCGAGCTTAGACGTCGCAGACGCAGTAGGTTGATGGAACAATAGTCCTGGGGAAATATCGAACCCACCTTCTTTGGAATCATTATAACTTCTGCAGTCTTCATTTGATCCTCCCCAGGCGCTTTACGCACTTTGAGGTCTTTAGTATGACCTTGAAGCTCTGCTGGCGTCCAATGCGGGATCCCGGGAGAAGCCGCTGATGTGCTGTGCAACTCTTTAGCTGAAGAATCTTCCGAAAAAGAATCTGCTGAGGAAGAATCACTAATGGCGGCGCCGGGATCACTGACGCCGTTGGCCCTAAAATATCTCCTGACGGATCTTACAATTTGTTGCTCCTCGTCGAGATCATTATCAAGATCACAGTTGGGAGAGAACTGTCGTCCGATACCATCAGCGAAAACCTCGACCTTGTTCTCTGTCCTGAAGACTATGCCTCCAGGACCGTGGATGTGCGGGAGTTATTCTCGCTTTCCGTTTCTGAGCGACTTCGCCACTTTCCAGAGAGCAGTACTTGAGTCAAGCATCCCTTCCATAAAATCGTTACATTGCTCATTCCGGAATTCATGGAGAGCATTTCTTACTTCATGAACAAGATTCGTCGCTCTGCGAATGTCATCAGGATGACAAGACCTTTTCGCTTTCTTAATTACAGCCCTTTTGTCAGAAATTTTCTTACGAATGTCTGCAGGGAACAGCTTTTAAGATATCCCAAAAGTTTTCTTGAAACCATCGTTTTAAAAAAATACTTGGTTGCCACGTTTTCGGGTTTGTTCGTTTACTTTTCAGACGTTACAGTAGGTCATGTTGAGCAACCTATGACCGCTTGACCTCAGGTATGAGAATGCATTCCCTGATTCTAATAAATTCGATATTAGAGATTTGGAAAATATAACGTCAATTGGATAGAGCACTAGACATCTGATTTGCGATGAAGTTAATACTTTCTTCAAAAACAATGAGCCGTATTTATAAAAGAGAAGCATCTCCTCGGAAGCATAAGGT